AGTCCTGTAGTATTCTAATTTATTTTTTTTAAATAACCGCCACCCCCATAACAGGTTATCAGTTATAGTAATTTACAGTATTAAAGTCAGTTCTATGTGAGCTGCGATACAGCAGTGGTCTACAATTACTGACCATGTTCTCACGATATACTGTAGCTGACTATTGCAAAATAGACTGTCTACAGAGCGCTTAGGAAATCTGCCTCAGGATTTCATTGAGGTGGGGTAAAATTGTGTCACTTTAATCTATCAATCACTGTATTATTTGCGGAAAATTCCAAAACTTTAAAATAAGAACAGGGGCACAAAGAAACCCAGTTGCAGGTCTAGTACTTTGGGTGCTTAGGGACACGGGGAGGGCTTGTACACACTAATGGTTATATACACACTGGTTATAGTATACCATTTTGAATTCTAATGCATATTTAAATAGATACAATCGAATTTTATATTTTTGTTAAGTGATAATTATCTCAATTAACATTTTCCCATTTAAAAAAGTGCTGATTTCCAAACTGGTTGCTTGGAAATTTTTCAGGGGGGACCTTGTCATTCCAAGACCACGTCGTTCCAAGACCACAATGCGAACTTTTAAACATTCTATTAATTATAAAAGACCTAAATATTTAACTCTCTTGATGTTTCTATAAGAAACTCCAGCACATTTTCTAATTTTAAAACTAAACTGAATAGTTACATGATTATTAGTACACTTTAATTTTTTTTATACATTTGCATTTTAAACTTTTGTCTTTGTTATCCTTATTGCATTTTATTGAATTTTAATATTATAAAAATTGTAGATACACTTTTTCGTATGCTTTTCATGTTGAAGTTTATGTAAATCTCGTTTTTATTGTTGAGGGCCCCTTAAAATGGGTCACTCTCTCGATACACAGTATATGGTTGAATAAATAAAACAATATATAAATAAATTTCCCGAAAGCACATCAGTCTATAACCAATTAAAATATACTCATTCACTGGATAAAAAAAAAAAGATCTACTAAAACTGAAACTTAAGAAGATAATGAACGACACAGCTGATCCACTACATAGTGAATTTACTTTAAACAACTCAGGCTTCCGTCTAATGTACCACTCACCACACGTTCCCGTTAAAGAATCTCCTTTGTTCCCAACTCCATTCACAACTCCATTCACCTTCATAATAATAATGTTAATAGATAATTGTGGTTTTAAGTGCAATTTTGGCCTAATTTATTTAAGTTTAATGTGTAATACTGGTTAATAAGATTTTATATTCTTTTTGTACATCTTATGACTAGATATTATTGGTGCTCATAGTTTTATATCCTTGTTATCTTTTAGTTATTACTGTATGTTATTAACACTTGTAACACTGCCAGTAGAACATAATTTCTAGGTTTTTCAGACAATAAAATTATCTTGAATCTTGAATCTTGAAACTACAGTTCATCAGCAAAAGCACAAGAAAGATGTACTCAAGAAGAAATACATCTCCGAGTTATTATACAGTAGCTGCCATACCATTTGACCCTTCAATAAATAGTTTTAACCAACGAGGGTTATTTATAACATTTCAAAAGGTTTTTACTTTACAAATTAATTAAAATCTGCCAGTTTCACAAGATCATCAATAATTATTCCTTAATCTTGCCAATTTCCTCATTTCTGATAATTTCAGCGTACAACTTGTCTAGGACTGATTGAACCTGGAGGTGTTCCTCTTCACACCTTATTAAGAAGTTAAAAAGTTTCTGTTTTCTTTAAGTAAATAAAAGATTCAAATTTTACCAGAGTTCAACGGGGTCAAACCAGAAACATAACACTTTTAAACGACCTTGTCCATCAAAATTAAAGCAACTGAACTTTCAACCAGTAAGGTGTAAAACTGGTTAACGAGAGAAAATTAATTTGATGGTCAAGTTGTGAAAGTGACAAGTGCGGTAAGAGACTTCGCAGGCAGTGATAATTAGATGAATCAAGTACACTATTACTAATTTTAACATTTCACTCTGATAGAGGCCTACAATTTCTCTGGTATGTTTAGTTTAATACCTACATTTAAAAAAAATTATATTTTTGGAGAGATAAATTGGCAAACTATGTTAAATATCATAATCCAAATTTAGGATGTCTGAGTGTCTGTCTATCTGTGTGTGTGTGGGGGTGTATGTGGGTGTGTGTGTGTGTCGGTGTGTTTCTCTCTATGTGTTTGATCATTTTATTTATCCTCGGAGCTATACATTATTTATCGTAATGTAGTTACATCCAAGTGACTCTCTCACCCTACTTATACAAGGCCTACAACTCAGTTTCTTTTATTGAGAGAAACTGCTCATATTTACAAAGGTTATATATTACTTTACACAAACAACATATTGTAAATCACTAAACATTCAATTATGTCTGATTAATTATAAACTAATATTTTGTCAAACGGAAAGCTTCGTTAACAAAGGTTAAAAATGGTAAAATTGAATTCGCTGATGCATAGGCATTAGAAAGATAAGATAGTGAATCTAATTATAAGAATAGGAAGAAAACTATATTGTCATCCAATATGAATGTATCAAACCACAACAAATTACTGTAGTAGTAGGCTTACCACAAAACTTTTAAAAAAACCACAAAGGTTTTTAAATTACCATGACAAATTATTTATATGATTTAAATTAATAATAACATCGTCAGCATTCTTCTTAGATTGAGATCTATTCTGAGATGAATGAACAACGAACCAAGGTCTACAGGTCTTCCTGGTTTGGTGCACATCCTTGAGAGTTGCCGTTCCACACAGGAAGCTTCAAGCATGACTATACAGCTGAGCGTGCTCAGTTAAAAACAACTCTTCGTTTAATGATTGATTGTCAACAAGAATAGAGTAATTGAAAATTATAAACTGTTGTAATATACAAAATAAATGATTTTTTTTTTAAATGTACCAAAAAATATATACTAGTATTTTATTGTAAAATAGATAGTGCCTTTAAATGGATAACAATTTTTTTTTATATATTAAATTTCAATAGGTGATTAGCTTTTAACACAAAATTAGAAAATATTTCTCCCAAACAATGAATTTAACTATGCCTTCAACAATTTGATTTAATATAAAACTGTTCTTGCTTCTTGTATATCAATTTTCGTAAGTTATGTAATTCCTTAATTTTATTTCACATTTTAAACATGTTTTATCTGTTACTAGATCTTAAGGAAGAACAATGTCAAGTTGATGAAGTATCCAGAATAAAGACTATCTAATCTATCTAAATTGTGAACATTTTGTTCAGTAAGATTATTCATAACCTTTCAAGCTGGTAAACATAGGAGTACAGCAGGTCCTCGGTGAAATATTGATTTAAATTAAGGACAACATTAACTTCTCAGTGCGTAATGTACCAAAACATTATAGTTTAATTATTATTTGAGGTGATTTTATCATTTTATCAGGTACTCCAGCAGACATTACAAAGAGCTAAACACTGGAGCTATGCATGGTAAATTTTGCTGCCACAAAAAAATTGGAAATTTCCAACAAAAATTAATTTTTTTCTTTATTTTTATTATGCCTCTGGCTTTAAATCTCGGAAAGTAAGATATAACACACTACATTTCATCCTAATAATGTAAATCTAAAGCTTTTTACCAACATTTTTTTTGTAATAGAAGTGTTAATTTTCTGTTTCATTTTATTTGGGGGTCACTATGAGACAAGTTTATCTTCTAATTTTGATCCCAGTAATGGTCTTTAAATTGTTATTATTTATACCTTATTAGTACATAAGTCTATTTGATTATGTATTATCATAATGTATTATTGTATTGTCTTTGACCATATGCAATAAATGTTTAATGAATCTGAATCCAAATCCATTTACTACACAGTTTACATTCAACAGTAAAATTTTATTTTTATTTTCACCTCCGTCTGCATGTTTTTGGCAAACACCATTTGCTGAATAAGAAAACCAAAGCATATATTTTTTTTTTTTTTCACGCTTCTCTGACAATTTTTTTAAAAAAAGTTCGGGAAACAATATATAAAAAATTCTCGCCTTAGATTTTTAGAGCAAATAAAAGCAAACTATCACCAAAAAAAACCGATTTTTCATTTGAAATGAAAAATCGTTAGAAAGAATCATTCATATGAGAAAAAGTTTAATTTGCAAATTTTCTTCTGGGGATGCGGATGGCAAGACGATGAGGTTAATGAGCTCGGGATTAAAGAACCTAGAAATTCCCAATGGAAAAAGTGAAAGGGTTTGGTTTTTACTTGTTTCCTGAACCTGTTCGCAGGTCCGCCACCTCCCACAAACCCGTCAATCAGTCAATTTCTGTGTAGCGTACAACGTACAAGTACATACTAATTAGTTAGGCTGTGTATCGTTGTGCTAAGATTGCGAACAGGTGTACGGATGTAAATACACATTATAATGATCTAAGAGCAAAACAACACATGGCATCCAGCATCTGACGTAAGTTGTATAAACTACTCAGAACAGCACTCAGGACTAAGTATCAAAATCAAATAATTGAATTTCTTTTGTAGGGAATGTATATTAGGTTATTATGTGTTGGCCTTTCAGTTGGAAGGTCAATGCCTACACACTTAGGACTACAAAATTTCAATAATTTTTATAAATTAAATTAAAAAAATTACTCAACATCTCATTGAATTAGCTAAAATAATCATATTTAATAGTGATGAAATTATAGGGCATGTTATAAGCCTAAGAGCTTATGAAAGGTAGGTCTTTATGAAAAAATTACAATCTGAATAAGAGGAAAAGCATCAACTTATAAGTCAAGATAACTCATTATGTGGTCCTCACCATAGTTGCCACTATCACAACTCGACCACAAAACTTGGCATTCAAGGCCTTCCTCTATCTTTCCATGCCACGAAAGTCATTGTAATCTTTTTATTGTTTTTGTATTCAAATACCATTCACAAATATTACTTGATATTGTTTACAATTACCTTATATTAGTTTTGTTTATTTCCACTTTAGCATTTCAAGAAGACAGAAAATAAACTGGGATAAGAAAAAAAAAGTGGATGGAAGAAATTCAGAAAAGATATCAGAATTTCAGCAACATGACAAAAATTAAATGCAGAGAGGCAGAGAGGGATAATAAAGTACAAGAATTTCTGGAAAGAAAATCTTTATTAGAAAGAAGTCAATCTGATACTTCGAAATCAACAAGAACATTGAATGCCTCGTGTGCATACTGGAAACAAGAGTATAATGGACATTTCAAGAATCAATCAAGCTTAAAAACTGACCAATCAGAGCATCGCTAAGAATATACATGCTTCTCCCACAAACACATGTGGGTATGCACATGTTTACGTACGTACACGCTATCTTTTTATGGGACCTTAGCAATAATATGCAAGGGTCGAGGCTAAAAGCCAATTAACATGGGCATTACAAAGTAAGATAGAAGATGATGGAGCAAAGCTCACATTTTGTTTAATTCAACACTTCTCGGTCAATGGTAACATTTCAGTCCGCTTTGACATATCAAATTTACTTGTACAAACGACTATCTGAGAATCAAAAGTATTTCTGAAAAAATTGCAAATGAAATTAAGAGCTTAGATGAAATTGAAAGGGAACTAAGTAAAAATTGAATTTTTGTATGACCTAATTATTTCATAAATTGAAAGATAATGTGCCAATTATATTACATAAAATTATAACTGCAGAAAATATAGAAATGCATGGTCAAAACAACAAAAGTTCAATTTGATTTATAATTTGAAGCATGTGTTTCTAAGAGATACCACATGTTGTATGCTTGTAAGTCCAGACAAGGACTCGGCCACGTCCAATGTTTACAAAACTTCCTACTCGCTAATGAATGCCATAGCTACAACAGCACCGGGAGCTTGTAAATACCGGATAGTGTACCGGTAATGAAACGCCTGTAAATGATTTATTCTTTGATAATAAAGGAAAACAAAGCTAACCCAATTTGGGACTACCGATTATCTAGAATATACTGTTTAATGAAATGAAGACAAGACTTTCAAGAAAACGCAACTAATTGCTCATAGGACTTCTTTTTTATTTTTGTTTATAAATTGTTAATATGTACAGTAGTACATCAGATTAAACATTTTTTTTTAAATTACTGTGTACAGTGTTCAACTGCAGCATTTTCAGCATCATTTAATCACTACTTTCAAAATTAATGATTTCACCACTCCAAAACACTTGCCATCTACCACCATCACGAAAATAGCTTTTAACCCTTGATTTAAATTATCAGTCACAAAGCCCTTTAGAGCAAAGAATACACACCATTCAAGTGAGAGAAATAAAACAAAACTTTTCCCTTGTTTTAACATTTTTTTGTAGTGTTACCAAAAACTTATTCCCCAGGATGTCTGCAAGGTGAATTAAGGCATTTAAAATATTTTTCAATAAAAAAAATTCTTAGCGAATAATAGCAAGGATTATGTCACTAATTTTGACTTGTCAATAAAGCGTATTTTAGGTTGGAAATGTTAGATAAACAATTACCTAATGAGATCAATTTAAAAGAGACAGACATCCAACGTGTTTAAACCTCTACAACGTGTAGACCTTGCTGCATACGTGTACGAAAATGCATGTTTAATTCACTTCCCTGCACGTAAGGTGAATAACTATGTAATCAAATTATGAATACGCATGTTAATAAGCAGGCAACACGATTAATGGCAAATTAATAACGTTCATGATTTACAGTTTCTACTCCCACATACGTATCGAGAAGCATGTAAAGCTAATTAAGTTCTTACTTATCAAAACACAAATAGGGTAAGCTAATTTAGACATTAAATGTGAGTGTGGAAAAGATACTGCCAATCCTATTATGAATTGTTTATAAATACAAGGAGGTTGACATTATCCTAGATAAACCAAAGGGGAAAAAATGGTTTGTTTATTTGGGAGTTTTAGAAAGAGAACTGTCAGTAGGCCTCTGTATGTATTAAGTAAACAATATTCATTCTTTTGTGCACAGTATCCATCTATTTTTCCACAAGAACAAGTAGTTAAAAATCACCTAGATCACCTTATTTTGCAAATTAGCGCTCCTCAACTGATTATCGAACCCCCCTACTTCACCTTCCCGCCCCACCATTAGCCCACCCCATTTAAAGACTTCTAGATACGCCACTGATGAGACCACAAAAAATAGTATCCACTCTTAAAATTGTTAAAAAGATAATTCAACATAATGTTTAAGGTCTACAGTTTATTTGGTATTATCTTTGGTTTTTTTTTTTGGTTTTTTTTTTGGTTTTAAGCTTTCGATTGTATTTTTGTATTAAAGTAGTTCATGTTTAGTTGTTCATTTTATAGTTAAGTTTCATGATATGTATAAGGTACATACGGCCTTGTGGACGAACAATACCTTGGTGAATGAGCTTCTGTTGTAAAAGAAAGGTTTCATTATTATTACTATTATTATTAATTTTTTTCCATAACATCATAAATTAATCTTATAAAATAATAAAATACAATGGTAGGCTAGCAGCCAAACTGTAGTATGGGGTTACAGCATCATTAAAATTCCAGGGAGATTCCCATTCACAAACAAAGGAAGAACAAAAAGAGAAAAAAGAAAAGAAAGATGGAAGCATGGTATGCCAAAACAATTTAAAATTCATGTTATTGTCTTACATTTCTAATTACATGTCCCACAAC